CTCGAGTGTAGGGTGAAGGTGCATTCGAGTGTAGGATGAAGGTACACACGAGTGTAGGGTGAAGGTACACTCGAGTGTAGGGTGAAGGTGCATTCGAGTGTAGGATGAAGGTACACACGAGTGTAGGGTGAAGGTACACTCGAGTGTAGGGTGAAGGTGCACGCGAGTGTAGGATGAAGGTACACTCGAGTGTAGGGTGAAGGTACACTCGAGTGTAGGGTGAAGGTACACTCGAGTGTAGGGTGAAGGTACACTCTAGTGTAGGGTGAAGGTACACTCGGGTGTAGGGTGAAGGAACACTCGAGTGTAGGGTGAAGGCGCACTGGAGTGTAGGGTGAAGGTACACTCGAGTGTGGTTGAAGGTACACTTAGTGTGGGTAAAGGTACACTCGGGTGTAGGGTGAAGGAACACTCGAGTGTAGGGTGAAGGTGCACTGGAGTGTAGGGTGCAGGTATACTGGAGTGTAGGGTGAAGGTACACTGGAGTGTAGGGTGAAGATACACTCGGGTGTAGAGTGAAGGTACACTCGGGTGTAGAGTGAAGGTACACTGGAGTGTAGAGTGAAGGTACACTGGAGTGTAGAGTGAAGGTACATTCGAGTGTAGAGTAAAAGGAAACACTCGAGTGTAGAGTGAAGGTACAATCGAGTGTAGAGTGAAGGTACACTCGAGTGTAGAGTGAAGGTACACTGGAGTGTAGAGTGAAGGTACAATCGAGTGTAGAGTGAAGGTACACTCGGGTGTAGAGTGAAGGTACACTGGAGTGTAGAGTGAAGGTACACTGGAGTGTAGAGTGAAGGTACACTGGAGTGTAGAGTGAAGGTACACTGGAGTGTAGAGTGAAGGTACACTCGAGTGTAGAGTGAAGGTACACTGGAGTGTAGAGTGAAGGTACAATCGAGTGTAGAGTGAAGGTACACTCGGGTGTAGAGTGAAGGTACACTCGAGTGTTGAGTGAAGGTGCACTCGAGTGTTGAGTGAAGGTACTATCAACGACATAACAGCTTTAGAAATACCAGGTGTTGAAAGTTAGGTAAATATAAGCCAGAATACACTATGGGAAATCTAATTAAGAATCACGTATGTTTACGATCAGGAGGGTAAAAAATATAGAGTGGGGAGGACTGGGTTAAAATATTTTGTGGGTGAAATGATCCGGCGGAGGACGTCTCTCACATATAAATCTTGATAACCTTCCCCCAACACGAGGGAAGAAATGGTGCAGTCCGGGGAGAAAAATCCTTTGAGGTTTGTGATCTTAGATATGTGATCAGCTGTTTCTTTTAGTCGTATGTGATCTTATATATGTGAACGGCTGCTGCTGCTGCTAGTTATGTGATCTTAAAACTACGATGGGGCTCT